ATGCGTCAAGCATAAACCAAGCTTTAGAGCAACATGCATTGTTGAAAGATTCCTTTACAGTGAAGCAACTAGGTTTAGTGGCACCAGTTGACAAAACTTGGTTAAGTAAATGCAACACGTCATTTCTTAGTGTGTTTTCTATTTTTAGAACCAGGCATTTAAGAAACAGAAGAAATTATGTTTTTATGTGAGATATTGCTGTAAATCTGCAGTGCTTCCCTCTCAGACTGTAGTTTAGAGTTTGCTACTGGTTTCCTGAAACATGTAACTAAATTTGTTAGATCTAAAAACAGCAGAAAAGTTTTCACTTTACGGGTTTGAGTAAAGTCTGACAGACGCGGGACTGATGCACGCTACTGTTCTCTCTCTGGTTTGTTCTGCCAGCACGCTGAGAGCATCCTTAGAGAAACTCAAAACTCGTAAGTCCATTTTCTAAAGTACTTATTCAAGCATTTTAGTTACTTTGCCTTTTGTTTTTGTTTTCACGGTTCAAGTAATAAAATGTTGGATTTTTTTATACTTCAGAAATCGAGAACATCGGTAACTTTCACATCCAGCTATCAGAAACTCTGAAAGAGGAGGTGAAAAAGATTGAGACATTCAGAGAGCGGCAGAAAGAGCAGAGGAAGAAGGTACTGGGAAATTCATGTTGCTTAGCAACCAGCTGTTGAGAACATTATTCACTGACCTAGTGTGCCGTTTTGAGGCTGATGTATTGAATAATTATTATTTCATATAATCCACATAAATCTATGGAGAATAAAGTGAATTCTGTTTTTAGTTTGAAAGCATCATGGACAAGCTCCAAAAGAAAAAGGTTTCCTGTTTCAAGAAGACGATGGAGGTGAGTTACCGATGGCATTTGAAGGAATCCGTCTTGAACCGTGTTTACCTCTCAGCAGGAAGCTTATTGTGTCCCTAACCCAAACCCTGTTCCACAGAGACAAAAACACAAAGCAGGAATCATTTTGCATCTAACGCTGAACTTGTTTCTGCAACGTCTGCTTTCTGTTTCTCTTTCTGCCAGTCTAAGAAGATCTACGAGGCGCGATGCAAAGAAGCTGAAGAGGCGGAGCACGGGGCTGAGAAAACAAATGCTCCCCCCAAAAACCCTGAAAAGGTACAGTCAAGATAAACATTTTAATAAATAAGCTAACAGGATTGTTTGATTTATGATTCAATCACTCAAGAAAGAAGGCCTGAGACATTTTTTTCTTACTGCTAAACTGAATCTCAGCAGCAGGCCAATGACTGAATTAGGGCTTAAGGACTTCCTGTTAGCAGAATTGTAAAAAAAAAAAAAAGATTGCAAGTGCAAGTAAACATTCATATAGAAGAAGTCTCCAACTTAATGTTGTGTACTAAATGTTAATTTTATACTTGCAAAAACCAACATGGCAGAAGTGATGTTTCTACGTAGTGTTGTGTGACATTCTCTTTTATCTCCTTAGGCTAACAAACCTAACATGACTTGGTCTTTTAAAAGAGATTTACTAAGCAAAACACACCTCTTGCATCATTTTGAGCTGCCATGTTGGTCTCTACTGCCTCTAAAAAAAAGCTCCAGACTTGTAAAAAAGCTGTCCATGTTTTAGGGATTATGTGCCTAAAACAAGCCGTTTGAAAAAGTCCCTGTTTGTGATGTCACAAACAGGGAAATTGCGTAGGACCCCCTCCTCACCTCTTCAGGCTGAAATGGAAGCGGTTGTACATTAAATCACTCCAAAATATCAAAACTTCTCAGCTTACTGACCTTTTGCCTGTAACGTCACGCTATTCCTGGAAACATCTCTTTCATCGTGGTGCACGTCAAAGGAACTATTTATGTCCATTAAACTCTGTTAAGCTAGTCCAAAAAAAAAAAAAACTAGTTTGTAGCCATATGGCTATAATTCTGTGGGTTTCACAGTAAAATGGTAAAGGACTGCTGCACAGTTGGCTACACTAACACACAAGGGTGTAAACTCTTTTTATTGAATAACTTTGATGGAGACAGAAGACAGGGATGGACAGCAGCTGTCAATCAAACAGACTTACAACACTCAAAATTTTTTGGTATTTGCAGTGAACACGTTTTAGGATTTGGGGAAGACAGAGGCTGACTGAGAAGAACCTGAAATGATGAATGTCACTTATTTAGCATTGATAATGTGTTCCGGAACTGTGCTGCTCTGGGTGGCTGCATGTTGGAGTAGCTCTGTTGACTATATATACAGTAAGATTTGCCTTTTTTTGGACATTTTTTTTCTAGTTTCTCAAGAAAAATGGTATTTTTTTGGACATTTTACTTTTCTGTTTCTGGTGCTGTGAAGCTTAAAGGATTTTTACTGCTATTTTTTCACTTTTTGAGCATTTGTTCTGATGCGTAACCATGGCAACAAGCTGGTTTACAATCGGGAGCAGCTGATTAACATTGGAAAGGCTGAAATAATACCTCAACTGAAGCCACAAATCCCAAATGAGCTAAAACGCAAGAAGCGTGGGTGCAGAGCGGGAGCAAAACGGAGACAGAGAAAGAGGAAATTCAAACCATCTCTTCCATCGATCATAATAGGCAATGTGAGATCACTGGCCAACAAGATGGATGAACTCCAAGCCCTTTCAAGGACTCAGCCAGAGTATCGGCAGTGTAGTGTTATGTGTTTCACTGAGACTTGGCTGCAGGACCATATCCCCGATTCCAGTGTCTCTCTGCCAGGATTCCTAACTGTACACGCAGACAGAGATCTGAAGAGGAGCAGGAAAAGAAAAGGAGGTTGAGTGGCAGTGCTTGTCAACAACAGATGGTGCCATCCAGGTCATGTTTCAGTGAAATGTCGTCTCTGCAGCCCAGATGTTGAACTCTTGGCAGAAAGTTGTCGTCCATATTATTTGCCAAGAGAGTTCACCAGTGTTGTCTTGGCAACCGTTTATATTCCACCTTCAGCCATTGCTGAAAGTGCATGTGATGCCACCAGTTCTGTTGTCGCTAAGCTACTAACCCAGCACCCCAATGCATTTGTGGCTGTATCTGGTCATTTTGATCATGCCTCGCTCTCTGCCACACTTCCAACATTTCAACAGTTTGTCAGCTGCTCCACCAGAGAAAACAAGACATTGGATTTGTGTATGCAAATGTAAAGAATGCATACATGTCCAAAACTAGACCTCTGGGACAATCAGATCATAATCTTGTTTTTCTCTGCTCAGAATACAAACCACTTGTTCAGAGGCAACCTGTGACAAGAAGAACTGTGAGGAAATGGTCACAGGATGCTGAAGAAGTCCTGCAGGGTTGTTTTGAGACCACATATTTTTCATAAGCTAGGACTCTCTGCCAAGGATATGAAGAGGACATCAACGCCATGACTGGATGTGTCACTGACTATATCAATTTCTGTGTGGACAACATCATACCCACCAGAACAGTGAGATGCTTTGCTGATAACAAACCCTGGATCACCAGTGAACTGAAGAATCTGCTAAATGAGAAAAAAAGAGCCTTCAAGGAGGGAGACAGGGAATTATTGAGGAGTATACAGAAGCAACTGAAGATCAAGATCAGAGACAGCAAGGATGCATACAGGAAGAAGCTGGAGAACAAACTACAGAGGAACAATATCAGAGATGTCTGGTCAGGGATGAAGAAGATCACAGGCTTCAAGCAGAGGAAGAATTGCACAGATGGCATCCTGGACACAGTCAATGAACTGAACAAGTTCTTCAATAGGTTCAGTTCAGGAACAAGCCCAGCATCCTCTTTGCCTGTCCCCAGCCTATCAGACATCCCATCCTCCTCTGATCCAACATTTTTCTGTCACAAGCCAGCTCTTTTGCCCTCTAACGCAGTCATGGACTCTTCTGGTTCAATAAATTTGTCTTCAACCAAGTCAGGAGATGCTGCTGCCCCATTTACCTCCCCCTCCCACCTATCTGTCTCTAAAAGTCAGGTGAAGAGGCAACTGGAGAGACTGAACAGGAACAAGGCTGCAGGTCCAGATGGTGTCAGCCCCAGAGTACTGAAGGCCTGTGCAGAGCAGCTCTGTGGGATTCTGCAGCACCTCTTCAAGCTCAGCCTGGCCCAGGAGAAGGTTCCAGTCCTGTGGAAGACAACCTGCCTTGTTCCAGTTCCAAAGAAAACTCGCCCATCAGTCAATGACTACAGACCGGTTGCCCTGACATCCCACATCATGAAGGTCCTGGAGAGACTCCTGTTGGTCCACCTGAATAAGCAAACTAGAATATATCAGGACCCGCTGCAATTTGCTTATCGCTATGGAGTTGGAGTTGAAGATGCCATCATCCAGCTGCTTCCACCAATCCACTGTCATCTGGACAAAGCAGGCAGCACTGTCAGGGTCATGTTCTTTGATTTCTCCAGTGCATTTAACACAATCCAGCCTGTTGTACTTTGCCAGAAACTCCAGAAGACACAGGTGGGAGCCTCAACTATCGTCTGGATTAAAGACTACCACACAAACAGACCACAGTTTGTGAGGCTGAAGAACTGCACATCAAACCAGGCGATCAGTAACATTGGAGCACCACAGGGGACTGTACTCTCACCGTTCCTTTTCACCCTGTACACCTCAGACTTCCAGTACAAATCAGAGACCTGTCATCTACATAAATACTCAGATGACTCTGTAGTTGTCGGGTGTATCAGAGATGGACAGGAAGCCGAGTACAGAGAGCTGGTGGAGCGCTTTGTGGCATGGTGTGGAAACAATCATCTGACCTTGAACGTGAGCAAAACAAAGGAGATGAGTTTAGACTTCAGAAGAAACAGGGTGGAGTCAAACACTGTTTCCATCATGGGAGAAGAAGTGGAGGTGGTTGAGGAATACAAATACCTTGAAGTTCACCTGGACAACAGACTGGACTGGAGAAAGAACAGCGAAGCCGTTTACAAGAAGGGACACAGCAGACTGCACTTCTTGAGGACGCTTAGGTCCTTCAATGTCTGTAGCAAGATGCTGCAGATCTTCTACAAGTCTGTTGTTGAGAGTGTAATCTCTTCAGCCATCGTCTGTTGGGGTAGTAACATCAGAAGCAGGGACCTGAAAAGGCTCAACAGCCTAATAAAAGCGGCTGGTTCTGTTCTGGGGACGACTGTGGAACCACTGGAGGAGATCATGCAAAGAAGGATTCTCCAGAGAATCAAGAAAATGATGGACAACCCTGAGCATTCTCTTCACAAGACTGTCAGACAACGGAAGAGTGTCTTCAGTCAGAGGCTTCTTCAGTTTGGCTGCAACACTGACCGCTACTGGAGATCCTTCCTGCCAACAGCCATTGTAATATACAACAACTCTTTGACGACTTGATTATTCTTTTTATTCTGAGCTACTACAGCAATCCGTTTCCCTCTGGGATTAATAAAGTATTTTTGAATTTGAATTTGAATGGAATAATCCTATATTTTAATATGAAGGACATGCATTACCATCCACTACAGTGGATTGCTATATACTAATAATATTGTTCCAACGTAGGTTTACGTGTGTGAGAAATACGGTATTTATTTTGCATGATGAGCTTCACTGTTATGAGATATCTGATACTCCCAGAGTGAGTAGCATCTGAATCCGGTGACCCAGCCAGTCACAAAAGCTGGTAGTATCCAGACTTTTCTAGTGTTTTTAATCAGCTCCAGTATAAAGTGAAACTCTGTTTATCGCATGATTTTGTCAATCCAGTGGCGTGAATTCTGGCAAGGTCGGCAACTTGTTTATCGGCTAACATCAGCTGGGAGAACGTATGCTAATGTTCATAAGCTAGCTAACACTTCACTTTCGTAAATATCACTCTATGAGCCCCACCGAGGTGTGCTAAACCTTTCCACAAGTGAACTGGGCTTGAACCAGTAGAAACCAGGCCAAACTGGCAAAATAAACAACCTCAGCCACCACTTTTGCTCTCCGTTATACTTCCGTAATTCACTGTTGACACCCATCATGGTGGCGAACCCGCGTGGTCAGGTAACGTAGGTGCAAAGTGTTAATTGTAGCCTGAGTAGGGGAAGAGTGGGCGTGGCCAGCTCCAGCTTGTTTTCTTAGAGTGACAGCGCCCTGCAACGGCTCATTCTGGAAGGTACTGAAAATGTCAAGAATAATACTGCCAAAATTACTTTATGTGTGAGGATTAAGTCTAAATAACATTGTGAACATGTTCTGTATGACTATTCCAACCAAAGAGAAAATGTCATAATGTGTCTCCTTTAAACAGGTGTTAAAAACGTTGATCTCTTTACAGAACTATTCTTTACTTTCTGTTCCTGAATCTGGTTCACAGGTACGCCACAGGATCAAACACTCCCGACTAGCAGCCAGCGAAGCAGGTAAGACCCAGGATGTTTCATCTGAAATCACATGAACTCTCCCCCTAAGTTGCTGTCAAGAAGCCAGAAAATCTTGTGATTCTTGTCTCTCAGAGGGTTTTTCTGATCAGAATCTCGAGTTTTTTTTCCATTGGACTTACTTTAGTTTGGTCCAGCTTTGAACAACCCAACAGTTTCACCATAGAAATTGGGGAAGCAGAGAATAAAAGAAGTGGCCATCTTAAATAACAGAAAACCAGTACATTTGGATGTCATGGCTTTAAGAAAAAGGAGAAAAATCCAGTAAAGAGCTGAGAGTCGTCAACATTTTGTGGATCATCTAACAGCATTAGTAGTGCAAAACAAGGCAATTATATTTGTTCTACTTTGTCAGCAGTGTTGGGAGTAACGCGGTACAAAAGTGATTAATTACTGTAATGCATTGCTTTTTGCTCTAATGTGGTAATGTAAGGCATTACAGGGAAAGAAAATGGTAATATTTACTCAGTACAATTGTCAGTAACGCGGTAATTACAACGCATTTTTAAACCCAGAATCAAGATGTGGGTTTCCTAAAAACGCAAATTGCGGGAAACCCGAAAAAAGATCCAGTATCTGCATATATGACGTCATTTATGGACTCAGCTTTGCAGGCAGAGAGGACGCAGCGGCAACTGCTCAAATATTCCAGCTGCATCCTGCACGCGGCCGCTGTTATATTCACAAAATCGCTCGACTAAAACAAAATAATTCACCTGCGATCGTTCATATCAGCGCATGTTCTCTGGTATTCTGTACTTTTCTGACGTGCTTTGCCTCAGCGGAGTTAATCTGGGCCCCGGTGATTTCAACTCATTGCTGCTGGAGCGCCGCGCATGTGAAGATCCCTTTGGCTGATAGTTAGAAAGTAGGAAGCCTAGGAAAGTTTTCTATGGAAGACGGAGAAAACCTGCAGCATGCTGGAAGGTTAGAGAGAGAAAGGGCAGGAAATTATTCAAATAAAATCAAGAAAACAAAACAAAGTGCTTGAAAAGAAAAAAAGTAGGCAGATTTATCCCCAACACAGATTTTTACCAGTGAAAAGCAATAATATATAAGCATTTAATATTTATACATGTGATAGAATCAGATCACCCCAGAAGTCAGTCCCACATCCAGGGCCGTATCAAGGCATTTGGGGACCAAGGCAAATATAGGCTTGGAGCCCCCACCATCTCACTTCCTGCTCAGTTAATCTAAGGTGGCAGCGTGCTGAGAGTACAGATAGTTGTTGCTTTTATTTAATAAACAATCCTTCCAACCCCGGCTTTCCACAGGAGCCGTCAGCAGCACGTTACTGCAGCAGCACGTCATAGCTGCTGATAGGAACCACTGTGGTCAACAGAACCTTTTCCACTGGAGCCGTCAGCAGTGCGAGTCGGCCGCATCTCAGGAGCAGCATGTCGCGGCCTTTACGCGCCGGTTCTATTTTCTGTGCGCGACGCCTCTGAAACGGGTCAAGTTTGACATTTTTGGGGAAGGAAAGACAGGAAATCGAACGCGGAAATGGAGAGAAGCTACCGAGATTTTCAGAATAAAGAACGTACTGCCTTCCGGTTGCTTTACTTTTAAAAAATGTTACTAACTGTGCGGCCCCGTGAGAAGTTATCACCTAGCTAGCGGTCTCCTTTGTTTTTCAGGTCCGTATTGGCGATTATAAAACGGACAGAACGTAAAACACAAACCATGTTGTAGTTTTCTCCTGCTTGTTGTTGTGTTTACTGACGAAGTCACTCGTGTGACTTCGTGCTCGGTCGGTGACAGCTGCTCCCCTGCTGCTTCGCGTCTCGTGTGAAGGGCCAAGCAGCAGCTTACTCGAGCAAGACGTGCTGCTGCAGTAACGTGCTGCTGACGGCTCCCGTGGAAACCCGGGGTAAAGAACTGTTTTTAACAGCAGTCCTAGCTCAGACACCACATCACCTTCCACCGGATGTGTCATGAGTTCACCAGGCATCAGATATTACCAAACTCATACTGAAAGTAACTTAAAGTAATGCAAAAGTAGTGTAATGCCTTACATTTTAAAATCAGTAATATTGTAATGTAATGAATTACTTTAAAATGAGGGTAGCAAGTACTAATGCATTACAGTTTTGAAGTAACTTGCCCAACACTGTTTGTCAGTGTTGGTATTTTTGGTAAAGTCAGTATATATAATTAGGCTTCTTTAATAAAAACCGTGTTTTTCTCTTGAGGTGAAAAAGCGGCTAGTGGCTGCAACATTTTTGTCTAATCTGGATTATGGAGACCTTTTGTTTATGAATGCCTCAGCACACTGATGTGGTTTATCATGTCTCTTTCTACTAACTGTAGACCACTGACCCATCATTCAGAACTATATTATCTTTATTTATTCATTTATTTATTTTGTGTGTGTTTAAAAAAAATATTTAAAAAGGGAATTCTATTCTCGAGTGGGATGGCCTTCTTTGTCCACCAGGAGGTTGGCATTGGTACACCAAAGCTGCCCAGTTCCCCTTTAACAGTGTAACTGAGTAGTTTTGTAACTGTATCTTTTGCTGCCTCTGCTCTACTCTTATGGTCTGTTTTTTCTTTCACCTGGTGAAAACTTTCTCATTTTCCACAGAGAAGGTGTACCTGAGCAACACCGATCAACTAGAAACTGTTCGCAGAGACTGGGAAGAGACTCACAAAAGCACATGTGAGGTAAAGCCTAATTCCTGTCAGCTGCTCTACAACCTCAATGATTTATTAGAACTTTAATCCCACAACCCAAACCTCAAACCAGACAGAACTGACCAGGAAGGAAGGTAACTTCCTGTTGCAGAGAATACTCAGAAATACCTTTGTAGGAATGAGAAACGGTGCACGAATTCAGCTGAAACGTTATTTCTGTGTTTTAGGTGTTCCAGCAAATGGAGGGAGATCGCATAAGCATGCTGCGGTGTGCCCTCTGGGACCACTGCAACCATTTCTCAATGCAATGTGTCAAAGATGATGAGGTGAAGCTTTTTTGTTAGTTTTCCCTTGAAAACGTTATTTAAAAAAAACTGTTCTTGTAACGGTCTTTGAAAAATGACAGAATTATCTGGATATTTTCTGGATGATAAAGTTTCTAATCCATTTACAGATCCACTCAGGTCCAGAGATGTTCTGATATCATTTTGTGTCCCTGATCCAAGTTTTGATTATCTGCCGATACCGAGTCCCGGTCCCAAAAAATTCAAGTTGTCCTTTAAATGTATATTTTTATTATGTATGTATTATTTTCTTTCTGTAATAATGTGATTTCATTAGTTTATCTGCCTAAAATCATCCCTCATTCAGGAAATACACTAATTAAAAAATGTGTTGTCGCCGTCCCTTGACGGGGGAGCCACGTCACGGCCGGCAGACTCACACTTTTCTGCAAAACACCCGAGAGCTGCATGTGTAAAACAGCCATGAGAAGGCAGCTCATACAGAGACTCCAAGAAAGTACAAAATCAGATGTGTGTAACCACAGGCAGTCATCCAGGGCGATGAAGCCTTGGTTTAATAACGCGTCTTTCAGTGTCTGCTGGCTCCGTGTTTCTGTCCGAGTTGATGCAGTTAACTGAGAGTATTGAGCAGTGGGTTTGTTTTTAGGTGTGGGACTATGTCTAAATGCAGACAGGAGAGTCGCTGTGGTGATGCTGAAGGAAAAAGCCGAAAGAAAGAGAAAAAGTTCAACTTTAAAGCAGCTCATCAGATTTGTAGTGTTCAAGCTGTCTTTTTCACCAGGTGAAATACTCAGCAGGCACACATACAAGTGGCCGTTGCACTGCCTTCGCTGTTCGTTTTAAATTACGCCCGAACTGCAGACATGTTAGCTAAGTGTTAGCCTGCTAGCTAAAAGCTAAGTGTTACGCGTTTATTTGGTTTTATCCCATCTATTATAGTGACATAATATGATGAGAGGAGCATGAGGGATTCCCAACTGATGAAATATTAAAAAAAGTTTAAGTTTTAAGAGACTGAGCATGAAACACAGTAGTTGTGAGTTTTCTTTGCAAGCGCACGGTCACAAGATGCGGCCATGATGCAAGTAGATTATCTCCATTTATGTTATAGAAGATGAAATTTGGTAGCGCAACGTTCTTAAAACTCCACATTTCTGATTTCCTCCTGTTAAAAACAGCTTTATGAGGAGGTGAGGAAGCTTCTGGAGCAGTGTGACATCACCACAGACAACAACTGTTTCATAGCGATGAAAGGCACGGGAACGAAGCCTCCAGGTGAGCTTTGACAACGGCAGATGGAGATGTACCACAAACACGATTCAGATTACTGCTCAGCTTGTGGCGTTTCTGTCTCTGCTGACACTAAAACAGAAAGTAGTGCTTCTCAAACGAGCAGCTTCTCTTTTCCTCCCACAGATCCTGTTGTGTTTGAAAGCTACTTCCCGACTGGGATGATCAGTAACAGCAACGGTGAAGCTCACTTTGGTCACCAGGCGGAGGAATCAGCGAGGGACAGCCCTGTAAACGAGTAACCTGTCACTGATTGTTGTTTCTGTTGGTCTGAAAGTGAAGTTTTGGCCTGGTCCTGGTCCATGAGGCCACAGAGCACCACTATACATTTAGAAGTTTGTTAAACATTGTGATTATCCTTCTCATCCTTCATTATTTAGACCATGCAGATCATTCTCTGAGCCGATGCTCAGCAACGTCGAAGCGGAAAGTTTTAGACTCTCACAATCAGCTCTGGCAGAAAGTAAGTGCAGTGAAGCTGCCGCTTGTTTGATTCTCAAACACATTTCTACATCTGAATAAAAATATGACTGACTTATTCTGGAGAGAAGAAAACCAGGGATCACATATGGTGGGAGGGTGATTAGTGGTTAAGTAGAATAGGGATGCACCGATACCGATACTGGTATTGATATCAGTATCAGCACCGATGCCGATACCAATACCAGTATCGGTAAACGTTAACCGATACAGGAACCGATACCAATGCAGTTGCTTGAAAATGGCTTCACTGTAACTTGTCATTTGTGTTCACCTAATATTTTAGTTTTGTGATGATTTCCATTAATATATTTTACTTTTTATCTACCTCACGGTCTTTTCCTGTTGAAAGCAGAGAAGAAAATAAAATCTGTATTCCAAATCATTACATTTTTTCGTGTGGTAGAAGTATCGGTATTGGTAATCGGTATCAGCGAGTACTCAGGCCCAAGTATCGGTATCGTATCGGTTTGGAAAAAAGTGGTATCGTTGCATCCCTAAAGTAGAACGTTAGCAGATGTGGAATGAATGAGCCAGAGGCAAAAGAAACAGAATAAACTATAAAAACAACAAAGGAATATAACCGAATACAAGATATATAACATAAAACCACAGTATGACAACATAATGTGTGGGCAGCAGTAGCTCAACAGGCTGAGTGGGTTGTCCGGTAATCGGAAGGTTGCAGGTTTGATCCCGGCTCCGGACAGAGAATTCTGCTGTTGTGTCCTTGGGCAAGACACTTAACCCACCTTGCCAGCAGGTGGTGGTTGGAGGTACCGGTGGCGCCTCTGCTCGGGAGCCTCGCCTCTGTCAGTGCGCACCGGGGCAGCTGTGGCTACATCGTAGCTCATCACCATCAGTGTGTGAATGGATGAATGATACACTGTAGTGTAAAGCGCTTTGGAGTCCTGACTCTGAGAGGCGCTATACAAGTGTGGGTCATTTATCATTTATCTAGTTTATATTAAAGCTGTGCTAGTTTAACATTTTAAGGTAGATTTAAAACTGCTTTAATTTGACTATCTGACCCTGTTGTACGATATAAAGTTGGTGATGTTTCATTATTTATATTTCCCCTAAGCCCCTCCCCTAGCCTCTAAAGCAAAGTGAATCATTAACGGGAGCCAAGAATGTTGGCCAATCGCTTTGAATATCGACAAAGTCAGTCTGTAAACTAACTGTGGAAAAAGAGAGAAGAGGATTAAAATGGATTTAGCCTTTTTTTTTTAACTGGAGCTAAGTGATTTTACACTTTACACTACACTGGACTATTGTTTTAGCCTGTTGTAGCGTTAGCAGGGGTATGCTAGCCTGCCAGTTTTAGATGTTTCCCTGCTTAAACACTTCAGATGTGATTAAAACAAGCAATTAGGAGCTCCTGTAGAACCCAATGAAGGCTGAGGAGTTTATTACACAGTTTGAATCAGGTGAGTCTGAGCACAAACATATCAAAAACATGTGTTTTCCATTAGCGCTACAAGGCTACTTGTGTGTGCGTGTGCGGTATGAGGCTTGGCTTTCAGCCAAAAGAGAAGAGATGGGAAACATTCGGTTTACAAAAGCCGGTCAATTGCACGTCACACTGTACATCAGCATTCATGGACTCACCCATCTTGGCTCGTGACGGGGAAGGCTGTTGTTGATTTAGCATCCAGGAGAGATCAGAGCGCATCTTGGCTAGTAGAAGCTCACCATTAGCAACTCCACAACATGACACAGGCTGGTGTTATTTGTGGAGATAAAACATCAACATTGCAAAGTGAATGGCGAGCGATAGAGTCACATTGCCGTTAGCCAATCCAAGGCAGGATGTCCGAATATCAGGAAATAAAACTCCAATCCTGCCATCTTCAGCGAACCCCTGATCTGGCTCAATTCTAGTTCCTGAAGCAGGAGCATCAGAGTTTTTTTCCACCAGAGATCGACTCACAAGGCATTCATTTATCCCTCCCACTGTCCTAATGGGTGTGACCTCGCGAGGAAAGTTGATCATTGAGCAGGGTTGATGGTTTATCCCTTGGGTCTATGTGGCAGGGGTGAGGAGTGAGCATCACCTCACCCCTGCCACGTGGACCTCAAGGGATAAACCATCAATCCTGCTCAACGGTCAACTTTCCTCGCGTGGTCACCCATAAAGACAGTGGGAGGGTTAAACTAGAGATTACTGCAAATGTGCTGAAAAAACTAGTAAACTTGGTCTTTAAGTGAGTTGAAGAAATAGTAAAATGTTTATATAATAAAATAACAAAAAAGAAGTTAGTAATTTCTGGTTTTGACTCTGTCTTCAGGTGAGACATCAGATGGCGGATATACACCCCCGGGCCGCCAAGCTGCAGCTATTGGACAGTTCTACGTTGTCGTTTACGAATACAAAGCACAGGTGAAGACAGCATCTTAGCTAAATGAAATTAGCTGAATCACATCCACATTTTCTCTCTTTTTTTAAGAGCATTTGTGAATTATGGTAACATTTTATTAATTTGCTTGTATTTACAAAAACCGAGCAGGAGGAAGATGAAATGTCAATCAGCAGAGGAGACGTAGTTCAGCTGCTGGTTCAGGGTGAAGACGGCTGGTGGACAGTGGAGAGGCATGGGGTCAGTGGACTAGTACCGGGAAACTATCTGAGCAAAATTTAAATACGGAGCCTCAACTCCGAACACTGATCTTTAAAAATGCACATGCATGAATACAAAGTTACGACTTCAACATCAGAACAGCATACAGCTTGACAGCTGCATGCACATATGTATAAGGAAATGCTCCACCATTACAGCTGTTTTCAGAACAAACTTTTTTAAAAGCTGAATTAAAAAGTGTCACTTTGTTTTAGCTCACGTTAAACTAAATGAAAACAGTTTCTATCCGCTAAATAAACTGTCATAGCAGAAGAACGTTGTTTCTGAAAAGGGAAGCTATGATATCCTGCTAGCGAGCGCCGCCATGTTGTATTTCTGGAGGTAAAGTCGGTAGCGATCTGGAGCCCCGCCTACTCTTCTTCACACGATTAAGGATGTTACGCAATCACCAAATGAAAAAAGAACATTCAAACCTAAAACAGGAAATTCTATTTGAATTCTCTGATCAGTCAAAAGTGCCATTTTTTTGCATGGAAGGGGCGGGACTTAAACATGAAACCAACCACTAGGGGGTGCTTGTTGCTTCTGGCTTATACTTCCAGGTTGTATTTTAATCTGTGGTTTTATTTATGAAGACACATATTTGCAGTACTTTAGAATACATTAGTGGTTTCAGAAAACTTTTTAAAGCTGATTAATTGTAAATTAAAGAGATTTCTATTGTCAACCTGCTGCATCTTGTTTTGTTTCCTAAAGTCAGAATCACATGAACTAAAAATATTAAATGATTACATTTGTTTATTTATTATTGTTATGTTCTGCATGTATATGTTATGGCTCAGGAAATACTTTAAATACTACTTGAGAAAAACCAGAGAAGTGTTTTTGCAAAACCACTGACATTTAGTAATAAACATGTTTAAAATACAGAAACAAAAGTTAAAGAGCAAGTCACCCCCTACCAGAGTATTACTTTGCCCCCACCTCCTGTTTGAAAAACGCAACAAATGCTGTTGCCTAGCAGACCGAGAGGCCGGAGCCGCTAACAAATACACACACAGACTCACAATGACGTTGTGACATCGTATGGTACCAGCTAACGTTTATGTTTATTATTTGGCAGACGCTTTTATCCAGAGCGACTTACAATTTATAGCCTGTAGGGCATGTTGTGATCTGTGGGGGAAACCGGAGTACCCGGAGGAAACTCACACATGCATGGGGAGAACAAGCAACTCCACGCAGAAAGGCTGCAGCCGAGTTTCAAACCTGCAACCTTCGTGCTGCGAGGCAACAGTGCTAACAACTGCGTCACCATGCAGTCCCAGCCCCCAACTTTCTAGGGTACCTCTTAGCCAATAGCGATGGCAGATTTTAATTCAAATGCAGCGCAGAGTTTTTACCTGGCAACGGCACAACACCGACAGTTTTAGGCAGAAAATTCGAATTTTAACTAAAATGCACTAAAGTGCTAAACTATTGATGGCACGTGTCTGCAGAACGATTAGACACGCATTTATATAGTTTATCAGAAAAAAATTGATTGGGGTGACTTGCTCTTTAAGCATTCAGAATTAAATAGTTTTTTGTTAAAGGGACTTTACGGAATTTTGAATTTTTATGCTCGCGATTGCCCCCTCAGGCCAAAAGCGTAACGGCAGCTTCAATAGGAGGCTCGTGCATGAGCATGCTGTACGTGCACACTCCTTAACGAAAATTTCAGCTGAGACAGTCCCTTGTGTGTGTGTGTGTGTGCGCGCGTGCATGCGTGTGTGTGTGTGCGTGCGTCCCAGGGGACAGAGGACAGGAGAACGCGCAGCTAATTAATGAAATAATTTGGTTCTGTACCTTTCTCTTCAGCACAGCTGACAAAGGTTTAAGATGGGTCAGTCCTCCTGCATGCTCAGATCATTCCCTTCCCTTGCTTGAAAAATTGTTCCAAAATGAAAGTTGAACCCACATCTTTTTTATCTGTGAATTCAATGCCGTTCGGCGAGTCTCAAATAAAAATTTGGGCATCTTACTGTAAAAAATATACCATTAATGTAAAAAAGAAACTAAAAAACAACTATGTTCACATCCAGAATCAAACCCAGGTCTTCTGCGTGGGAGTCTGACATCTTACTGGGTGAGCTACACTCTAGTAACGTTCATAACATCTGTAACATTTATATCCTTGATGACAGCTGAAACTGTTTTTTTTTTTTTTTTTTTTTTTTAACCATGTCCTGTCTGGCTGTGAAGCAAGCAGAATTTATGTCTGGATGCTGGTAACAAGCCTTACAGATTTACTCTCAGGTGGAGCATTAAAGCGTATGGTTTTAATGTCACGCCTGATACTTAAAACTTTATTGTTATTGTTTTTGAATGCTTTGTAATTCCGACCAGACACAGAGACAGAGGTGAAAGAGAAAGGAAAAGAAAATGTGGGGAGAGAGGAGGGGGGGGTTCCACAAAAATAAACAATAATGAACAAGAGTCTGCTTCTAGACCTGCAGAAAAAGACAAAAAAAAAGCAAAAGGGCAAAAAAATGGGACACAACAACAATACAACAAGATCAAGCTATCACTGCGTCAACTTGATGAGGAAATATATAATCAACATTGCTTAACTGAAGAATCACGATAATAAATCACAGTGCATTAAGTGCCCAAGACCTGTGTTGAACGTTCCCAAACCCATACTTTTGAGAGCACCATGTGAGCACCTGTGTGTGTACACTCGCTTGTTTATGTAAGGTTTCTCTATAGGAGCGTCCAACAGAGTGTGAGGGACCACATATCCGCCCCCCAAAGATGCGCAGGAGACGGGGGGAGCTCCAAGTCTCAGAGATTCAGGCGCTGCCCCAGAACACAGGAACAGAAACAACGTTCAAAGAACGGTTCGGAGCGAAAATGGCTATTTTGTTGCTAATTTGCAGTAAATATCTAGAAGAAAGTTCTACAGAAAGTAGCTAAGGGTCATCAGAAATGTAGCTAGCTTTGTCACTAGGCGTTAGGAACAGCGACAAAGTCGCTGAGTTGGCACTGCCTCTCTCTCTGCTGCTAAAGCTACAGATAGCAAATGCTACGGGCGATGTCTGAGTGTGAACGCGCATGAAGCAGCCTGCTCGACCCGAGCATCTCTCTTTTTCTGTGATTTTACAGAAAAACAGGCAATCACAGTAAAAATGCCAGGACTCATTCTACAGGACCAGGGCATTGCAGGAGAATGTATGAAGAAGACATTTATTATTTCTATACATGTTTTGGCTGTCAAACTTCCATAATGCCCCTTTAAATATGTTATATATTCAATTTTTCTTTAAACATGGGTTTTATTTATTATGCAGCGTGAATGAAATTACAATCAACAGCAGCTCAGATTACATGTATGATTTTATTTGTCTCCTGTTTGATCTCCAGTCAAACACAACTTTATTTCTCACATTTTCCCAGCTGCACTGGTTATAATAACTATAAGGTCAAAAAGGTGCACAATTTCACAGTTGTATAAAATAATGAGTGGTGGTTCTTTGCATCAGGTTTCTAACTAACACTGAAGTTACTCTGTGACTCTGACAAACTGAATCCACACACATGAATTCAGATAAGATTAGTATTAATAAATGAATGATAAAGAGCTTAACTCAAGATTTATAGTGTTAATCAGCAACGAGGGGCTAGAAGCCTGATTCAGAGAACGCTCGCACCAAAACTAAATATCCCACACCCTAAGTGTTGGTGAAGGATATTCTCTACCAAACAATAAAAATACAGAGCTGCAACTAAACAAGCTACAAATAACTCACTTTGCTTGGTTTTTCTTTCTCACGGTTCACAACATCCATCTCGAACAGACACTCCACGGTTATAAAAGCTGAGATTTTACTTTTGCAACAAAAAATAAACATTGAGTGCTTCGAGCGCTTCCTGTATTCATTTCGTCCCAACAATAAGCTCACACTAAATTACTCCTCATCATCATCGCTGCCAATCAACAAAAGATTCATTAAACTATCATTAAAAGACTTTTTTTGTTTGTTTTTTTAAAAACAGCAACGATAACGCAGCTTAGCCGTACGCAGCTTTGGCTTTTGTATGTGGGTCGTGTCGAAACTAAAACTAAAATTAGCCGTAAGTCAGCGTGTCAATAAATAAACGGTTTCCTGTGTGAGGTCACCAGCCACACAAACCTCGTCATCAGTGTTTGCTACTTTTTTAATGAGTTGTTCAAGATGTGCTTTAGCTTCATCAACTACGGCTGAATTGTACTGTGAACATGTCCGGTGATGCTCCTGTTTGTTTTCTGAGTGCAGTGTTGTTGTTGTTGTTGTTGTTGTTGTTGTTGTTGGCTGGATGCTCCCCTCATGCGTAGCTGTTGGTTGTGACGAGCAGCTCGTAGGCCGGATCGTGACTCCTCCTGCACAGAACCACGCAGGCACAGAGCATGCCCAGCATCTGCAGGCAGACACAAGTTCATATGTCCTAAGCTAATTACAACGGATGTTTGTCGAAATGCATGCTGGGAAACCGGTTTTTGCCAGTCATCCCGACCTACAACAGCTCGGTTTAATTAATACGTTTATGTTTTAGTCGCATACAACCGAGCTACACTTGGACATCATGATGTTCAGGGAAATTATTAAGCATGCAAGAGAGGGAAAAAAAGCTTAAAAATAAACATTTGGACACTTTTTCTAGGTTAGCTGCTGGCAGCAGAGGCCCATCACAATGGACAGTGCAGGTAATCGTTGCCACATAAACACAAAAAGAACCATGTTAAAGCTGCATAGGCAAATCTGCAACACAAGCTAGCTTTTAAATAAAAACAGTCACAGAACAGACACCCCTCCAGTTGGCTATCACTGCTAGGCCACCCCCCCCCCCCCCCCCACGCTGATTTTTGGGACTCTGGGAGTTTGTCTTGAAGTTGAAGTGGAAGCAGCCGGCTGTTTCTCCTTCCCTGTTAGTACTGAGCGGAGAACCTCTCACACCAGTGGTGATCTGCTGCTAACTGCACGAGTGTGTAATGAGTGGAGGAGCCAGGTAAATGTGGAAGTGCAGGGCTTCGGTGAGGCTGACATCCGGATGGCCGAATTGCTGGTTTTAGAACAGAGAGTATGTGTGTGTGTGTGTGTGTCTGTGTGTGTGTGTGTGTGTGTGTGTGTGTGTGTGTGTGTGTGTGTGTGTGTGTGTGTGTGTGTGTGTGTGTGTGTGTGTGTGTGTGTGTGTGTGTGTGTGTGACAACATTGTTATAATGCATGGACACTTTTTTAGGGTAGCTTGTTTTGCATATTTGCCATTGTAGCTTTAACATGACTCAAACTAAAAGTTTGCATCATTTCTCTTAGATACAGGAAAAGCTCTTCAACCATAAACAAAGTTGAAACTGAATTTTGAAAAACTGCAAACAAAAACTAAACATTTTTAAAATGGTAAAAATATTACTTCAAGAACTTTTATTTGTCCATCAAAAGCTGCTTTACAAATCAAGTCTATATATATATATATATATATATATATATATATATATATATATATATATATATATGTATATATATGTGTATATATATATATATATATATATATATATATATATATATATATATATATATATATATACACATATATATATACACATTTATACACACACACACATATATATATACACATTTATATATATATATATATATATATATATATATATATATATATATATATACACATATACATATACATATACACACACACATATATATACACATTTATACACACACACACATATATATATACACATTTATATATATATATATATATAGATAGATAGATATAGATATAGATAGATATATAGATATATAAATATATATACACATATATACACACACACACACACACACACATATATATATACATCTTGATTTTCTGCTCTGAAAAGGTTTTTTGTGGGTGATGAAAGACCTCTCAGTGACGCCTGTCTATTATTATCCTTCACTAAATTCTTTTTAATCTTTATAAAAGCAAAAGTTTTGATTCAAATGAAAAAAATATGATTAGATTTAAAATTCTGTCTTTGATAGACAAAAAAGTTTATGAGTTCAATATTTGTGTTTACATTCTGTTTGTAGTTTTCAAAAATGTGGTTTCAACTTAGCTTTTTTTGTTTGTTTTTGTTTTGTTTGAAGTACTTCTTCGAATGAATAATAAAGAAACCAAATAAATTCCAACCCCATGTAGTTTATTGTTACTAATTCACATCAAACTACTTCTGGTCTTGGAGTATCAGGTTTAGTATCTTCGTCAGAGACCTGCCATATCCTGTACGTGTCTACTGCCCCCTGGTGGCAGATCCACTGGTGGCAAGGACCTATTTTATTAAATCTTAACAGTTTTTTTTATTGTATGATGAAACTAATTTGATTTTGTAGATGTTTAAAATCTAGATTTTTAAACTTGAATACTTTGACTGAAAAAAATACAGTATTAATAGTGACTTACCTGTACAGACGCAAAAGTTAACGCGGCCCATATGACGTACATCATGATCTCCTTCAATTTCTTCACAACAAGAGCTTCACAACCCTACACCGGAAAAGCGATGACATTAAAAGTGTTTTACAGGTGGAAACACACACCTGTGTGATTAAGTTGCTTCAGGTGGATTTTCTGTGAGCGTACCTCTTGGTAGAGGTCAGCTGGTCGAGTCAGAGTGCCCGTGCAGTTAGTGATGCCGGGCTGACAGCAGCTGACCGGGACGCTGTTGTTCTTGGATTCTTTAAACCAGCGCGTGTTCCTCCAGTCGGAGTAGTTGTGGATCCCACAGCAGTGGAGCTGGAGGCAGGAAGATAAGACGTCTTAAAGGTGCACAAAACAGAAAAACATCCTCCGAGTTCCAGGGGTTCCCTCACCTGCCTCTGAACATAGTCAATAGCACGGCTGGGGGCGTCCATGCTGGTGCCGCTGTACTCGTTGTAAACCTTCTGGATGGAGTGATTCACCTCATCTTCAACCTGACACAAACATCTGTTAGATCCGCATCAGATGGGGGCAATGTGACCCACATGAACGGACTTGAAGGCCGGCGTTTACCTTGGCCCTGTAGATGTAGCCGAGCACCACCACCACACACTCAGTCACAAACACCACCAGGAGAATCGCAGCAAACTGAAACGACGGGAGGAAAATGACGCAAATGAGTTGAACTTTGGACTTTGAATGGGAAATACCTAAAACTTCAGGTGACAGTTCTGGTTTCATCTAACTGTTGCTGAGAAAATCAAAGCTGCCCGCTTTCCCCACAAACCCATCTCTCAGGGAAACATTTAATGATTTGAATTACGGATGTCCCGATCAGGATCCTGAGATCGGATCGAATATTTCATATTTTTCAGTGATCGGAGATCGGCTATTATAACTGACGAGTCTCTCAAAATATACTATGAGCACGTTAGCGTATGCTACTTCCTTAGCACATGCTAACTCCTGTAGAGGGCTTCTTTTCCTGTGTGATAGCCTCGCCCTGTTTACGGTTGGGTTTTCCAAAAGAAGTCCACCAAGTGGATGACGAATCAAGCGGCGATTTACATTTCTCAAGATGTCTGGCTCGCGTGAGTTTAAATCCTTCCAGGGAAACCTGCTATGATCTTGTTCATCCACGTCTCCGTGAAAGAAGCATCGGGCTGTCAGTAGTCCCGCTGCAGCCGGGTCAGCGCTGAGAGCTCGTCCATTTTATTAGGGAGAGAGCCGACGTTTCCCATAATCGTGAAGGGTAGATACGTTTCCAGAACTGCGCTGCTCTGGGCGGCTGCATGTTGGAGTAGCTCTGTTGACTATTTATAAGTTTTGCCTTTTCTTGGACATTTTTTCTTCTATTTTCTCAAGAAAAACTATATTTTTTGGGACACTTTACTTTTCTGTTTCTGGCGCTGTGAAGCTTAGAGGATTTTTACTGCTATTTTTTAGATTTTTTCACTTTTTGAGCATTTGTTATGATGCGTAACCATGGCAACAAGCTGGTTTACAATCGGGAGCAGCTGATTAACATTGGAAAGGCTGAAATAATACCTCAACTGAAGCCACAAATCCCAAATGAGCTACAACGCAAGAAGCGTGGGTGCAGAGCGGGAGCAAAACGGAGACAGAGAAAGAGGAAATTCAAACCATCTCTTCCATCGATCATAATGAGCAATGTGAGATCACTGGCCAACAAGATGGAGGAACTCCAAGCCCTTTCAAGGACTCAGCCAGAGTTTCGGCAGTTTCGGAACCGCTGGAGGAGATAATGCAAAGAAGGATTCTCCAGAGAATCAAGAAAATGACGGACAACCCTGAGCATTCTCTTCACAAGACTGTCCGACAACGGAAGAGTGTCTTCAGTCAGAGGCTTCTTCAGTTTGGCTGCAACACTGACCGCTACTGGAGATCCTTCCTGCCAACAGCCATTGTAACATACAATAACTCTTTGATAACTTGATTATTATTATTATTCTGAGCTACTAAAGCAATCAATTTCCCTCTGGGATTAATAAAGTATTTTTGAATTTGAATTGAATATCTCCGCTACCTCTCTAGAGCTTTATTTTGGAGGCAGAAGTGGGTTTCCGTGGAGAGAGAGCCAGCATAAACCAGCTCTTATCAAACAAGCTTCCTCTGTCCTTTTAGTCTCATTTATATTCTCTAGCTTTCACTTCTAAATCATTTTGCATTTGTACTGTTTTTATGTTTTGTACTATTGTATTGTGTTGTTATATGTGCAGCGCTTTGGTCAACGAGAATTGTGTAAATGCGCAATAGAAACAAGAAGAAGAAGAAAGATCTTTTCTACAGCGCCTCTCATGACAAAAACCACGAGGCGCTTCACAAAAACAAAAAATGTCAAAATATAAAATACAAATTTGAAAATTATTTAAAATATATTTAAAATGAGCAAAAAATAGACAAATGTGATTAAAAATGCAAAGAAAGAGAGAGAGTGAATACGAAAGAGGAAAATCAGTGGACCCTGAGGAAGGTGGAATAGGTAGGGAGAGCAGAACAAGGAGCAGGGGATGAATGTCACACCAAAACCAGCCTGAACAGTTGAGTCTTCAGCTGCTTTTTAAAGGAGACCACTGAGTCCACTGATCTCAGGCTCAGGGGGAGAGAGGTCCAGAGTCTGGGGGCCACAGCAGCAAATGATCTGTCACCTTTGGTGTTTAGCCTGGTGCTGCACAACCAGTAGGCTTTGATCACTGGACCTCAGGGACCAGCTGGGGGTGTAGGGACTAAGAAGATCACCAATGTAAGATGGTGCTTGTCCATGTAAGGCCCTATAGACCAGAACCAGGATCTTGTAAAGTTGAGCAAAAGCAGATGTAGCATAAAGTTGAGTTGAGCATAAGCAGGACCCACAGCTGATTCATGCAATAAAAAAATCAATCCATGCGCGGAGCTGCAGGCATGGACGTCATTGGGGGGGGGGGGGGGGGGGGGGGGACAGGTCAAGTTTTGACCCCTGCACTTTTTACCATCCAAAAACAATGTTATGCTTCATTAAATTGACACTGGTTGAGCTCTAGGACCAAGTGGAAAACAACCGTTTGTGTTGAAGCCTGTTTCCCATTAGAGCATACTGTAAAGATACAACACCCCCCCGTGTGCCCCCACTTCTAAAGTGAAAATTACGTCCATGGCTGCAGGAGTTTCCCAGAACCCTCCCAGAAAGTTTCATAATCAGTAGAAAAATGAACAGTTTCCTCCCGCTCTGTCGCATCTTCGTTTCGCCGTAATTCTGGAGGCAGAACCAACGTTCCACGTGGAGAAGTTAGCTGCTAAAGAGAGCTAGCGTTAGCTGCGGCCACCTTAAGGGCGTTAAACACACAGTAGAAAAAGCAAAGAATAGAAAGAGCGTAACGAAGCGGGAGCTGCTGTTACTGGCTGCAGCCACCTGGTGCTCTTTGTAACCGAACGCGATCTGTCCTTTTTCGTAGTTTGGAGTCCATCTTCACAGCAAATCACCGCAAAATAAAGCTGCCAGAAATATAACACTCTGCATCTGGTCTCTAAACAGCAACTTGATTTAATGGGATTCACAACAGTAACGGTAATGCTTATTAATGAAATTAGTCTTAGAAAGTTAACTTGAGTTACTTGCAAAAAATTTATTTCAGCTTTAGAAATTTCAATAATAAAGTCAAACTATCGGATCGGGACAGAATCGGGATCAGATGCCTAAAATGCTGATCCAGACATTCCTAATTTTAATGTTTTATTTGAGCAAATATCAATGCACAACGAACTAAAACGCTAAATCTAAACCCTTTTCTGACAGGAAGTCGGCCGTTCCTTCCAAAGATCTAATCCTAATGATTTTATGTCTTCATGTCATCACAGACATTCGGACATACGGAGGATGCTGAGATCATAGACATGAATACGTAGACGCCCCATTGGACTCTGGAGAGCGTAACAGTGTCGCCGCCATATTGGATGGGTCAACCTCTGCTCGTTTTTGTGCAGCCTGTGGTTGCAACTATAGGGATGGACAATATATTGGCATCAATATTGGTTTCGGCTGATGTTAGACATTTTTTAACATATTGTTATCAGTTAGGTAAATATAAATCAGGCTGATATTAAAAACCAATATTTTTTCCATCTCATCTCCATTTGTTTGCCTGTTTCAGAGGGTGGGGGGTGATGTGTAATTGTTTAATCATGTGAACAGTGAATGAAATCATCTCAGAAGCGTACATATGTGTGCTGTGTGTACATAACGTTAATTCAGCTTTAATCATTCTCATTCTATAGAAAATCGGCTGATTTTAGAAGTATTAATGTCAGAATATCAGTATCAACAAATTTCGGTTATCGCCCATAACAGTGATCTTAATATTGGATATCGGTATCGGCCCAAAATGTCAAATCGGTGCATCACTAGCTGCAACAACCAGCGTGCCATTGAAAACAGCGCCAGTCCACAGGGCGTCTACATGTTTATGTCTGCAGCTGAGACCAGAGCTCTGTGGTGGTTATGACATCACTTCCTGGTCTCCTTGTTATTTAATCTGAGTTCTTGATGACATTGGCTGCTTGTTTGTAGTCCTTGTGCAGAAAAGCTTTCGGGCCAGTCAGACACCTCCCTGATAAAAACCATTGGTTCTGATTAAATCCTCAGTTTTAACTTTAGAAAATGAAAAAATCACAAGACTGGATTCAAGTCAAACCCACGAGCTGTCATCTAAACAGGTTTTACTTTTTCAAACATTGCTGCATTTTCCTGATTTTAATATGAGAGCTGTTCAGTCCTGGTCCTCGAGGGCCACCAGCTGCATGTTTTCTACCTTTCCCTGCACCCACACACCTGACGTGAGTCAAAGGGTGATCAACAGTGTTGTGTAGAACTCGGGAGGTCGACTCTCACCGTTGCCAGGCCGCAGGAGCTTTCACGTATTGTTGCACAGCAGCCGATCAGGCCGATGATGAAGAGGAGAGTCCCGACAGCGATGATCACAATGGCAGGAATCAAAGTGTACACGTCTTCAAAGAAGTGGTCGTAGTCATCGTATGTGATGAACACATAGGCTCCTATGTAGCACAAGATCCCGGCTGCAGCCTGCAGAGACAGATAATTTCCCTCTGGGATTAATAAAGTATCTTTGAATTTTAAAACAAAAGTCAGAGTTGGACAGAGACAGGGAATTAATAAAATAAAGACAGAAAAGCATTCTGTCAGCAGAAAGAATTTAGCCTGAGATGTGAAAGAACAGGCTACCGGCAGCTCCTCTAGACGATTAAACCTCACATACATGTTGGTTGGTTTTTATTTATCCTTCCAGCTGTTTGTTTACAGCTCTAGAGTCGCTACCTGGATGTTGCATTACATCATTTCTGAGCAGCATCCTCACTAATCACAGCTGGAACAGCCACACCAACAGTCCTAGAAATAAAAGACCACCACAGGTCATTTCTCTGACGTTCCCCCGGATGAAGCCTCCCTTCCCGCCCCGGCCCTGCTGCGCACCGCAGCGCGTCTCTGGCGCAGTCTGCAGCCCGCTGGCTCTCCTCGGTCCCCGGCCCGGTCCGCACCGGCCCGGCCAGAACCGGCCTCCACCGGGATGCTGCACATTGTTCCAACAGCTGCTGTTTTCTTACCCAAAATATCAGGTTGAGGAAAACCAACACGGTTTTGGATGACGTAATCCCGCACTGCCCCATTCTGTCACGCGCGCTGAAGTGAGACCAGATGATGGTGAGGTGCGTTTGTTTGAACAATAATCTTCGTGCACCTGCACTTGTGCAGTAAAATAATAAAATGGCTTCAGTCTGCCTCACCACCGTGCAGATTCCTCTGGGCTCGACCAATGATGTGGAGGGAAATTGGAAGATGGAGGTCACGTGGTCTGATGACATCATCCTTCTAAACAAACCCAAGATTCATTTTGAGTTTTTTTTAATCACTCAGCTTTAAAACTGTCTGAATTTTTGACACAAATGAAAATGCATTCATTCATTCATTCATTCATTCATTCTTAACAGGTTTAGGACTAATGCACAGAAGGTAATCTACCCAGAGAAGTGGATGCTTTTTTTTTTTTTTTTACTTTGTCTATTTTTGAGCCGTTGACAAGGCAAATGAAACAAACACCAACCCTCCTTTAATAGCCCAGGAAACCCTTTAGGTCAGGGGTGTCAAAGATGCGGCCCGCGGGCCAAGCGGGTTAAATCCGTCCCGCGAGATGGTTGTGTAAACTTTATATTCATACTTTAGAATGTAGAGTGAAAATAAACTTATCTTTGTGAGCAAGGTTTCTCTGTAATGAGTATAAATAAAACAAAGCTGCGCTCAAGGCTCACACAAGAACTTGAATCACATCCTGAAGTTGGCCGCCACTCAGGATGTGACTTCTGATGTTGATGTGCTGGTGAAAGCTAAAAGATGTAAAGTAAAATGAGTCAAATATACTTTAAGTGCTGCATGAAACTGATCTAGCCATGTGATCTGTAAGCTCTTTGAATCACTAAGGGATGTTTTATTTATTTATTGATTCATTTATTTATTTTTTTCAAATTTTCAAGTACACCGGGTGTTGTACTTGTACTTTTTGGATACACTGTCCTCAGGCTCCAGCCTTGTTTTATATTGATTGTATTAAAACAAAGAAAACAATCTGAAGTTGTTTTTAATTTACCGGTCCGGCCCACTTGGGACTAGATTTCTTGCAATGTGGCCCCTGAGCTAAAATGAGTTTGACACCCCTGACTTAGGCCCTAATTAATGTAAGCATGACCTGGACTGATCTGGAAAACAGCAACAAAATCAGATAAATATGGAGATTTAAACCAGCAAGATAAAACAAATGGTCGCCCCGTAATCAGAAGGTTGCAGGTTCGAGTCCCGCTCAGTCTGTCGCTGTTGTTGTGTCCTTGGGCAAGACACTTAACCCCCCTTGCCTGCTGGTGGTGGTCGGAGGGACCGGTGGCGCCAGTGCTCGGCAGCCTCGCCTCTGTCAGTGCGCCCCAGGGCAGCTGTGGCTACATTGTAGCTCATCCCCACCAGTGTGTGAATGTGTGAATGACTGATTGTGTTGTAAAACGCCTTGGGGGGTTCCAGGACTCTAGAAGACACTATATCAAATACAGGCCATTACTTGTAATATTGTAAATGGTCTGTATCTGTATGGTACTTAGGGTTTTACAACCCCCCAAGGCGCTTCACTCATCAGTCACCCATTCACACACACATTGACATGCTGGTTAGGGTTGTGCCAGCTGCTGTTGTGTCCTTGGGCAAGACAGTTGACCCACTTTGCCTGCTGGTGGGGGTCGGAGAGACCGGCAGCGCCTGTGTTCAGCCATCTTGCTCCCTCGGCGCGCCCCACCGCAGCTGCAGCTACATTAGCTCATCATCACGAGCGTGTGAATGTGTGTGTGAATGTGTGTGTTGTAAAGATCCTTGGGGCGTCACAGATTCCTAAGAAGACACTATATCAAATACAGGCCATTTACCTTTTACCATTTACCAGGCAGAAATACACGCACGCCCCGGACGCAAAAAAAGGTCACGCACTCTAAAATGCCGTCGGACCGCCTTTAGCTTTGATTACAACTCACATTGGCTGCGGCGTTGTTTCGATAAGCTCCTGCAACGTCACCAGATTTACTTCCATCCAGTGTTGCATTAATGTCTCACCAAGATCTTGCATTGATGATGAGAGTCTGACCGCTGCACAAAGCCTTCTCCAGCACATCCCACAGCGAATATTCACCAGAAATCCTGAATATTCTGCCTTTAGACCTGCGGGAGGCAGCTACACCGAATATTTTTACGATAAAGTTAAAAACCCTTTCATTTGAAGAAAGTTACTGTTAGGGTTTCTTATGACTTTTATTATTTTTACATCTTTCTTTTATATCTCTTTTATTGTTCTATTGTTTTATTTTTTTGTTTGCATTTTTTAATAAGGGCTTGTAATTATGTTTTTACTGCTTTTATTACTTGACCTCAGTCTGTGTTTTATGTGCGTGTAAATGTGTGTTTGTGTGTGGGGGGTTCATAATAGTTCTAAGTGTGTATTTTAGGTATGTACTGTATATACTTTGCTGATGAGTGTGTACATAGTTTATAATTTATTATTTTATGTTTTGTCTACAGCAAAACTCATTGTGTTGCTATGCAGGATACGTGCTTTATAAATAAAGTCGTTTCACATCCCAAAGATCTTTGACGTGGTTCAGGTCTGGACTCTGTGGTGGCCGATCCATGTGTGAAAACGACGCCTCGTGCTTCCTGAACCACTCTTTCACTATCTGAGCCTGATGAATCCTGGCATTATCATCTTGGAATATGCCTGTTCCATCAGGGAAGATGGAATAACCTGGTCATTCAGGACATTCAGATAGTCAGCTGACTTCATTCTTGGAGCACATCCTGTTGCTGAACCTAGACCTGACCAACTGCAGCAAGCCCGGATCATAGCCCTGCCCCCACAGGCGTGCACTAGGCATGATGGGTGCATCACTTCATCTGCCTCTCTTCTTACCCTGATGCACCATCATGCTGGAACAGGGTCCATCCGGACTCATCAGACCAGTTTTAATAAAGCGTTGGACAGTTCTGAACCCAGTTTAGATAGATAGATAGATAGATAGATAGATAGATAGATAGATAGATAGATAGATAGATAGATAGATAGATAGATAGATAGATAGATAGATAGATAGATAGATAGATAGATAGATAGATAGATAGATAGATAGATAGATAGATAGATAGATAGATAGATAGATAGATAGATAGATAGATAGATAGATAGATAGATAGATAGATAGATGATAGATAGATAGATAGATAGATCGATCGTAATATTGGGGTGATTTTTGGCCACAGGGTGGCAGTGCATCGTCTCTGTTATTGTTCACGAGGATTTTTCAGTAAACATTCATGTTTTTTCAGGACTGAATAAATACAGGAAACCTCCGAAGGCGAGGACAGAATCAGGGACTTGTGTGTGTTTCCTGGATAGACTGAGACAGATTACTGAGTTGACTCAGAGTGATGTTGTTCTTCAGTAAGGACTCGTGTACCAGCAGCGCCCAAAGCCTGGGTTTGTTAGTTCTGTCAGTTTTGGGTGTTGGAACCGGTTGGAACCAGAGCCCGAGGCCTTCTGTTAATAGAACATCCCCATCATGAATAATAACCAAACTTTACCTGTTGATTGTCATTTAAGTCATTATTAAAACAGGAAAATACATAAAAATGCAATAAAAACAGAAATAACTTTAGAAATCAAACATTTTTAACTAAATAAGAAGGATTAATGCATTAATAGAAGCTAAAATTACTAGGAATTTGTTAATTTTCTCTGGTTTATTTAGAGGTGATGAGATGGTTGGTTAAATAATTATCCAGCTAGACAGAGACGGAGTTTATCTGCTGATGGAGCAGCTTCACACTCCATCTGCTGTTCAAATGAAATGTGAAAGCCTTTAAATGACAGAAAACTAGTTTAGAAAAGCAAATTCAAATAACTCATAGTTCATTAAAATGATGTCAAAGCAGCAAGAACAAACATGTCTGACACGCGCAGGCAGTGGCGGATTTAGCTATTTGGGGGCCCAAGGCGAACACAGACATGGGGCCCCCTTACACTACAATCATATCTTTAACTGGATTTGTGAAACTCTCCCCTCTTCTGACATGAGTTATTTTCACTTTTTATTAGTCATCCTCTTTTTTCCCGTCTTTCTCTCCCTTTGAGTGCCTTCAATATAAGCTCTGCTTTCTTCTTCCTGTCAGTGCTCCTGTGCTTTTGCCTTTCTTTTTTTCCTTCTATTTTCCATCTTGGTCTATGTTTTCCTCCTTTAAACATTTTCCATTGCCTTTCCTTTTCTGCTTCCTTTGATGTTTACATAGAAAAACGACGTCACTTTTGGAAGTGAAGACAAAAGCTTTTTTGAAACAAAGCTGCTTCCTTCTCTTAT